TGCGAGTTTCAATTCTATCCTCTCCATTACCAGAACAGCACAAGCTTTTGTCATCTCAAATCTCAGGATGCCCCAGATGCTCAAGCCTGTCTCCCATCTCCAATTCAGTCACTGTCCTAAGATGCAGAAGTAGTGATATGTACAGACTGGGCGAGAACTTAAGTAGAATTAAACATGAGTAATCATTAAGCAAAGCAGTAATCAAGCATGATTAAGCTGGTCTAGTTGAAATGGACCATTTAAATATCTACACTTTAGTCTCAACAGCTCTTTTTATGTGGATCGCCTGACCACCTCTCCATTTCACTTGGCGTATATTTCGTGCAAAGAATTTACTTTGACCTGCCCTGTCAGCACAGCCGTGTCCTCACATGGTCTAACTGACCTGCTGAAACCAGAAGCCTCATTTTCTGCCACTGATTTAGGCTTGCTCTGGGTTTGCAGAAAGGCTGGGCAGGGGCTGCCCATGGGGTCTCTCTGGGGATCCAGGCTTGATGCTTCTCACTGCGGGCAGCCTCACTGGCCGTGTTGGCTCCCATGTCTGGACACGGCACCTCGGGGCGGCTGGGAATACCCAGCACTGCAGCAAATCGAGTAAAGCCCCTCCGGCCCTGCAGAATGACTGCAGAAGCATGTGAGGCATGTTGCCTTTCAAATAATGACCATGATTGAGCAATGGTGGTGTAATTGTGGTGTCTCCCGTGGAAGCAAGTGTGGGTAACTCAGGGCAGTCAAAGCTCACACCCTTGCACATGTACCATGGGTGGTTTCTTCCTGGAGCACCACAGATGTCACAAGGTCAGTTATAGCCCTGGCCCTACTCCTCACCTCAGCCTGTGTGTGGGGAGGACTTAGTAACTGCTCCAAACATATTAGAGATGGAAACTTCATTTCTTTTTCGCCTCTATTTTGCAGGAGTGCAGTGTGGGTGGGTGGCAGGTGGTGGAGGTCATGCAGCACTGTCACTGACAGCAGAAGACCTCCCAACAACTTCATCAGAGGCACCTAGTGCATGGTGACCTGGGATGGGCTGCGGATGCCTTGCCAGGGCCCAAAGGCCACTGGCCGCTTGGGGACATGTATATCTGACTAGAAAGTCACAGGTGGTGGTGCTTGGTGGCAGTCAGCCTCTCCTGTTGAGGACGCTTCTGGTGATACTGGGAGAGCCACGTTCAGGGTGTGCGGAAAGGCGTGCGCTGAAAGGGAATCGCTGGTTTGTGTTACTTGGGGCTGTGCTTAGGTGGTGCTAGAGAGTAAAGAGTAAAGACCTCTCTGCGATTTGGGCGTCTGGATGGGGAGTTTGGCCACATTTTTCCCTAAAACATCTTGTGAAGAGTGGTGATCGAGTGGACTCAACACGGCCCAATAAGGCACATCGCACAGGACACAGCAGGGCTGCAATGTTTAAGGAGAAAGACTCTTAAATTGTCTTAGCATTTTAGTACTGTCTCAAAACTTGATCTGAAGAACAGGAGACCGTCCAGTTTTGTCCAGTGACAAAATCCTTGCCTGGCACTCCCAGCAGAGGGGTATTAAGAGTGATACAGTCCAAATAAGAATTCACAGACCAAACAGTGGCTTATTCATTCTCTCACCTACAAGACCACTGCTAGGTGAGTGGCAAGTGCAGCCTTTATCCTACCTTTGCTGCTGGTCCTATTTCTTCCAGCTTCCCAAGAAACCTCTTTCTTCTCTCATGCCGTGCAAATCAGGATTGACACCAGGGGTTTGCATTGCCCTGCAAGTCGTGTGGAAGAGAGGAGAACTGGGTAGGGTGGTGTTCATCTTTGGCAGAGGATGGCAGGGCTTCTCCTGTATTGAATGTCCCTACAGGAATTTGGAGCCTGGGTGAGTGTTAGCACCATGTTCACCTGTGTAAGCATCCACCAGCTGGGTAAGCAACCTTGGGTGTTTTATAGCCCTGGTGCACAGAGCATTTGTGTAAGGGCTCTCGGACATTGTGCTTGCTTTACAAAAAAATGTGTAGGACCTACAATTTGGTCCTTTATAGCAACAGGGTCAGTGTATGATGGTGTTGGACTCCACAGTGGAAGTACAGCTAGAAATTCCAGGTTTTTTATCCAACTAGCCAATTTTAAGTTTTGCTGTTGGTTTTAACAGTAGTGTGCCAATCTGACAGACATTATCTCCACTGAAAAGTTAAAAGCAAAGTTAAAAGCAAGGTCTAACATGGCCAAATCTAGGTTATGTGTTGCAAGCTGTAGCCCCTCGCCTTTTCTACAGCCTTCCTCAGCTGTGGTCTCACCACTTTGTGGCGTTCTTTTTGAGCTCCCAAGAAGAAGCTACACAGCAGCATGTGCAGCTGATCAGCACAGAGCCTTGTCCAAAGCCCCAGGATTTTCTGAAGCTTCATGTGTGCACACTGACCCTCACATGCAGAGGCACCCCAGCAAGACCATGACCTCAGTTTCTGTAGTATTTCCTAGATTTGAATCGCCATGATGAAGGGAATGGGATTAGTCCAGTAAATCAAGTTACACATGGACTTAAAAGAAGTGCTTGGTCCTAAGGACAGTGAGCAGGGCCAGTTCATCTAGTGCTTTTGAAAGGTTTGCCCAGCCTTCGCCTACTTTAAACAGCATTTAATTTTTTCTGTGAGTTTTACTTTTCCAAGAGGCCTTTTAGTTCTCTGAGTTCTCTGTTTTCTGCAAATTTAAGTTTAACCGTATATTTCTGTATCCTAGCTTTCTATTTGAAATGTCTAAACAATTCTGTAGATCTGGAAGGGCTTTGGAAAGGTGGTCTCTTAATGAACTGATGTAGAAACATCAATACAGCAACTGGGGAAAAATATTTGGTATGCAATGCTTATTGATCTCTGATCCTCATTAAATGTTTGATGTTTGATTCCTGCTTTTGGGAAAACTGTTGAAACTTCTGAAAATTTCAGAAATCTTCCAAGAACACTGTAGAAGATTTTATGATGTAGAATCCACCTCAATCCTTGGCAAATTGTTCTAACATTTAGAAGACCTTAAAAGGTTTTTAAAAGCTGAGCCTCATTTGTAGTCCGAATTTGTCTAGTTTTAACTTCCAGATGTTGGATCTTGTCATAAGCGCTGACTGTGAGAAAAGAGATATTATCAAAGTAACAGGAACATGCTCTGGATATGATTCATCTCATCTAAATTTCAGCATAACAGTACATAGCATCATTTGGGTCTTCCTTGCAGGACAACACAGGCAATAGTCAGTTTTAGATAGTGATTTGCCTGATCTGCCTACAGATATCTGTGTTCGACTGTCCATTAGCCCACACTGAAGTGCGTCTCGTTTGTTTGCCCAGCTGAGCAGATGATGTGGACTGCTCCTGGTTGCCTACTCAGTCACTGATAAGTGCAGTTCAATAGGATGATGCCAAGAATCAGCCTCACTAGAGATTCAGCTACTGGATGATAATTTCCTACTTGTAATCACATTTCAAGAGCTGTCAGTTAGCCAGCTGTTAATCCACCTAATGTACATGGCATTGATTTTGTATTGTGCTTGTTTCTTAATCAAATTTCTGTCTGATACCATCTTAGATGCTCCACAGGAGATGAGGTCTAAAAATGGCATGGAAAACTAAGACAATGGAAGCCTCAGAGTATCTCAGTAGATCCTGCTGGCCCAGGCAACAGTAGAGTGCTGCCCTGAAGCTGGTGTTTGCTCCTTTAAGTCTGTCTACTGCAAATATTTTATCCTCTCAGTCCAGTCCCAAGTCCTGGGCCACTGACTGTCCACTTCGTGTGAATGTTAGTGCATTCCCTGTGTCTTTTTTGGAGTGAAGCAACTGGTTTCTTCAAAATCGAAACTCGGGTGCTATTCTGGAGAAAGTTCACTCCAGACAACTCCAGAGGATGGAGATTGAACTAGATTTGACTCTTCCAGCTTCTGCAGTCTTCTACTTCTCTTACAACAGGCTTTGCACCCTCAAACATCCCCGAAAGTCTGGTTGTGTTGGCCTAGGGGCGCAGGACTGCTCCATCATGCAGGAACATTTAGTCACGTAGACATAAGCTTCGAGTACGCTGGGTCTTCTCCCTGGCCCGTGGAGTGATCCAGCACAAGCAATGTCCAAGAAGCTCTTCATCTTCTTTGAAATAGCTGACCAAAATCCAGTCCAGTCACTCTTTTAATCTGGAAGCTCTTTTCCCCATTTTTAGAAACTTTCTGCTCATTGTCATGCACAAACCACACCACCACCAGAAGCCTTGAAGAGTCCTTATCACACCCATATTCACATAAATGATCCAGACCATTCTGGCCTTTCTGTCCCAGCTTTCGTAAACAATTGTGTGCAGCTGTCTACACTGGACTTCTGTTATCTTGGACAATTTTGGGTCCAGATCATTTTACAGCAGTAAAGTGATAACTTTCAAATGAAGACTTTTTAGTATTCAACCGCTTATTATTACCAATTACTAAAGCGGGAACATATCTGAAAGGAGCCCCAGTCCACCTGACCGAAGGGATGCTGCTGCTGAAGGAGTTCAGTTTCTTGATCCTGCCACAAGACTGCCAATGCTCTCTGCCAGGGTCCCAGAACAACAGAGCGAGTGAGGTGGGAAGGCACGTCTGGGAATGATTTAGGCCAACACCCTGCTCAGAGCAGAGTCCGTGAGAGCAGGTTGCTCAGACCTGTGTCCAGTTGGCTTTGAATATCTCCAAGGATGGAGACTGCACAAGGTCTCTGGGTGACCTGTTCCAGTGTCTGACCACACTCACAGTGAAAAGGACTTTTCTTACGGATTATCCTGTGTTTCAGTGTGTGCCCATTGCCTCTTGTCCTCTCACTGGGCACCACTGAGAAGAGTCTGGCTCTGTCTTCATTTCCCCCTCCTTCAGGTATCTATGTACACTGCTAAGATCCCCCAGAGCCTGCTCTTCTGCAGGCTGAACAGTCCCAGCTCTCTCATCATAGGAGAGATGTTCCAAGCCCTGAATCATCTTCACAGTCTTTCAGTGGACTCTTTCCAGTGAGTCCATGTCTTTGGTACCAGGCAGCCCAGAGCTGGATGCAGCACTCCAGACGTGTCTCACCAGGACTGCATGGAGGGGAAGGGTCACCTCCATTGAGCTGCTGGCCAAGCTCTGCCTGATGCAGCCCAGGGGGCTGTTGGTGTTTTTTGTCGTAAGGACACGTTGCTGGCTCCCGGTCAGCTTGCTGGCAACCAGGACCCCCAGGTCCTTTACTGCAAAGCTACTCTTGAGCTGGCCGATCCCCAGCTTGTCCTGCTGCCTGGGGTTGTCACTTCCCAGGAGCAGGACTTTGAACTTCCCTTTGCTGAACTTCACAAGATTCCTTTCAGCCCATTTCTCCAGCATGCCCAGGTCCCTCTGGATGGCAGAATACACATCTGCTGTATCAGACACTCCTCCTGGTTTTGTATTATCTGCAAACTTGCTGAGTGTGCACTATGCCCCAACACTAAGGCCATTAATGAAGATGCTAAACAGTAGTGGTCCCAGCATCAAACCTTGGGGCACCCTACTAGTGACTGGCATCCAGCTGGACCTTGTGCTGTGGATCACAGAGCTCTGAGCCTGGCAGTTCAGCCACTTTCCAGTCCACCTCACTGCCCACTTATCTAATCTGTACTTCATCATTTTGCCCGCGAGGATTTTGTTTGAGGCAATGCCAAAAGCCTTGCTAAAGTAAAGATAAAAAACCTCCGCTGGTCCAATGTTGTGAATTAAACTGACCAGGAAAACGGCCCTCCAGCTATGAACAGAAGTTCTCAACTCATGCAGAATGAGTGTTCACGGTGTGTACAAGACCATTCTTCAAAAGATCTCATAATCTTTCCTGGAGTCAGTTAAAAAGCTGTCCCTGTGCAAGAGACTGGGAAAGTAAAGCACAAGTGAGTCAAGTGAGTTGCCTAAAGTAGATTTGCAAAGTCGAACTTGTGCAGCAATACCTCCAGCGTCAGATAAGATAGCTGGTGGAGGGAAACTGAGGAAAGGAGGAGGGAAATGGACACCTCTGCCGAGGCAGATCCTATATTACTTCAAGAGATCTGCCAAAGGACTGGGAAATAAAAAAACCCACAAACCAATCATTTGGCCATTTGGGCAAAGAACTGAAACAAAACACTCTTTGTTCTTGACGTTGCTGTTTAATGTTGAAGACAGACATTTCCCAGCAGAATTGAGGAAAATATTAGCTATACATCCTTTGGGATGTTCATGCTTTTATGTCTGATAACGGAAACCTTACTTCAGTTCACATTATTCTACTTCTTTTGTTTATTCCAGACAGCCCAAATTTCAGTCACAAAGACGGTCCTGGCCCCTACCTGGGGGACAGACAAAGCCATGCTTTGCTGCAGGAGCATTCCCATCCCTGGGAATGTACTGTTGTGAGAGATTAACGCCTTTTGAATTCTTCCCTTGTTGTAGGAGCACAAGGATCAGTGGTGATCCAGAGGAGAAGTTATTAGAAGACCGAAAATCTCTACTAGCTGAGACGATGTGTTCTCCAGCAGCGGTTGTAGTAAAGTCTGAGAACTGCAAGGGAAGACTGGCATGTGGCATGTGGGGTGAAGCATTCGTGTGGAAATGACAGGATCATCCTGGCTGCATGCAGCTCATAGCTCACATGGAAGTATCTCCCTGGCAGTGCTACAAATGTCTGGAAAACCTGTGAGTGTTTCTTTGCTTTCTTGCTGGACGCCAGCTGTAACCCCAGTGAGGACACATTTAGGAAACCCTCAACCTGAGCATAAGTGAGAAGGGGAAGAGGTGCATATTTCCCTTCAGAAGTGCTGTGGTCCTAGTTTTCTCATCTTGGTAAACCAGACGTCCAAAGATGCCTGGTGAGGAACTGATGAGATGCTGAGAACTCACTGCAAACCAAATGCTTCCCAAATTGCAGGTATTTTGTTTTTTTAAGTAGACATGACAGATAGGGTATTATTAACCTCAAAAATGCCAAAAATATGTAGCAGCTGTCTAAGCTTGGGAAAGTTAATGAAAACTGGGACTATACAGAGTCATTGGCATGGACAAATCTAGAGGGCAAAGGAAGTAAATCCATGAGGATGAACCGGGGCCCTCCAGTGCCCAAGGAAATTTTTTTACTAAGGGGGGGAAAGGAAAAAAAAAAGGAATACCGAACTGGAGGCAGTAACCTGTGAGAGGAATAATTTCATGGGAGCTGGGTCATTATGCCCCATACTGGCAACACCTCAAGGACTTTGGGTGTGCTGGGCTGGAACAACTAGGCATTTTGTCATTAAGTATAGGCTAGAATTGCTTTTATATTTATTTTACTTACAGCTAATTGCTTTCAAAACTTTGCCTGACCTTGATGAATGTTTTCTTTTTAAGCTTGCTGGGGGATGTTCTGAGGAGGGAGTCATATAAAGGTGGAAAATAGTGAACATTCAGGAGAGTTACAGTAATTGTGTCTTTGCCATTTTTGTTTCTCCACGCAAAGCAGAGTGCATTTTGGTGGTATGAAATTCTGAGAAGCTTTTCAAGGGCAAAGTGTCTCTGCTGAGTATGCCAGATACCCCTCACAGTGCTAAGACTTTCCTATTTGAAGTCGCTGTGAGTTTTCTGTGTGACGCAGGGTGGTGGCGTGACGGTGGTGGTGATGCTCTTTAGCAAGGTCCTACCCCAGAGCGCTGTCCTTCAACGCTGTCTTGGGAAGCTGTGGATCTGCTGCCCACCAGGCCAAGCGTGTGAGCGCGGAAGGGCTTTAATGTCAAACTTTGGGACTCTGCAGAGGAACAGCAGGATAAATTGGGCACCGCGACGTAGAGAAAAGATATCTCCAGACGTAGCCTTTTCCCTTTCAGAGCTGCTGGGTGGGATGGTCTGTGAGTGGGGATGCTCACCCTGACATGAGGACTCTGGAGTTTCACTCTTATCTGGGCCATGCAGCAGGTCTGCACCCTTAAGCAAGTGCACTATGCCAGCCTTGGTTTGCTCCACACAGAGGACCATGCAGGTCCCCAAATAGGTCGCCCTAAATCTTGCAGGGGAGTATGCTTGAATCAGCATAGAGCAACCGTGATTTGGCAACAAGAGCCCAGTTCTTCTGGCGCTACGGTAATGAGAGCTTTGGTGTCTCCCTTAGCTAAGCACGACCTCACATGCTCCCACTCAAATCACTGGGGTGTGAAAGACTTCAGTCCATAGTTAATGGTAATGCTTTTAATTTTTAAAACAGGTTTTTTCCCCTTTTCTAGGCACATGTTATAGTTAATGTTTCATGACAGCCTCTGGAGATACAGGAAAGAAGTTCTGGTCTTAGTTTAAGAAAGCATATCTACAGGACTGCTGTGTATGGGCAGATAAGTGTGCCCAGGTGTTTGCTAGCACTAGGGCAAAGCATAAAGTTCTGTGATACTTTTCTGATGAGGAGCAGAATCTCCACCTTGCTGAGGATGGGTATTTTAAATGTTCTGGTTGCTCCCCGTGGGGAACAGAGTCATCAAAGCCATATCTAGAGCTTAGGCCTGCCAGTCCTCCTCCCGAGCCCCTGCACTTGCCTTGGTACAGTTCAGAGTGACACGTGGCTCCTCGCTGAGCTTGCTGTGGCCATGCATGGTGGCACCAGCAGAGTTTCTCGCCTTGTGCATGCACAGTGGGGTGTTCAGCATGTGCTGGAAGCAATCCACCAAGCAGCACATTGTTTTCATCCTCGTCAGCTCTGTTGGCTATAAGGGTTTCTCTGCTGTGGGGTATTTTGGATATGTCAGTAAATACCTTCCCTCCAGCAGTGACAGGTATTTCCACACACAGCAGCCCCCACAACCGTTTTGTAAAAGTTGTATGACAAGGGGCTGCCCAGAGCATGGTTCAGGCTGGCTGTTGTGGGTGGATTGCGACTGACCATAAGCCATCACTGCAGGATCCTTCTGAATCTTTATTTCAGCTCCCATCTTATCAGCCCACCCTGCAGAGGAATGGTCTCAGTCTGTCAGACTTCAGACTAGAGGCCAAACTCACGAGTTAGCTGCGGTGCTTGTCTTCTGATCCATTGAGAATTTATGCAAACATGGTTTCAGGGGCATCTCTGTACAGACCTGGGGGCTTGAGTCTTTTGGGATCTTGCCCTCAGGATTTCATATCCCTGCAGGGAGGTTCAGCACCGGTCCCCAGCACCTTTCTGTCATCACAGTCCTCTGAGGTCTCACACACCAGTTTGTGTATGTGTATGACAGCATCCCCCCCACTCTGCTTGGGTAACACCTTCACGTGAGTGATTTAACCAGGGGTTTTAGAGAATACTCATTGAAGAGTCTCTCAGGCATCTCCGTTTTTCCAGCTGGTTGAATTTTTGTAAAGAGTGGCAATGTAAAACTTTCTTATCCAGTAACTGAGGGCTGCTCCTTCATCTTGCTCATCTGCTTCTGCCCTACCAGGTCAGATGAGAGGGGATGTCCTCTCCTCAGCCACATGGCAGCAGACTGGCTGCATGCCCTGCGACCGCGGCTGGGGAGAGGCATATGCTATAGTTTTTGTGGTATCGAGGAAAGCTTTCTAAAGCATGGTGCAGAACGGATATTACTGCTGGACTGGTGTAGTGGTTGCACTGCATTCAGTAATCTGTGATTTTAAAGGTCTGATGTGCTCCCCAGGGAAGATTATGCTGGAACTCCATCTGTTGTAATGGGAACAGGTTTGCTCACTTTTTTTTTTTAATCAAGAATACCCAATCTATTAAACATTAATTTGTCTCCTTTGTGGTGAGAAAAGTATGTGACTTGAGAATGCCATAAACGTTGGAGCATGATTTGTAGCCTTGCCTTCGGGCGGGGTACCAGAGGCACCCCAAAGCAAACACTGCTGGGGCCCGCGGTGCCCCATGGTCACCACCACAAGATTGTGCTCCATCACCATGCGCCTTTAATCACTGCAGACTTTGAGCTCATACATTCTCCTCAGATGAACAGAGTGCATCTTTATTACTGTGTGAGGACTTCAATAATTCATTATGGGAGAAAGCAAAGAGAAGAGCAACGCTGTTTGTACTAGGATCTAATTGCTGAATGCACCCTGACCTTTCAAAGGAGGCCCCACATTTAATCACGATTCTCTTCTAGTGGCACTGTTGGCGAACCCATCTGTTTGTCCATCTGCTGCAGTGAGATGAGGGTGCTGGTTCCCCTCGTGATATTGCAGACATCCCACTTGCGGGGAAGGAGGTTTCTCTGAAACAAAAGCGCAGCCAGGTACGAAACAGCAACGATTGTCCCCAAGGTGAGAAGCACTGTGAATGTTTTAAAGGGGAAAAGCTGACTGTAGGTCCCGTTCCCCAGGGAACAGGCTGGGTAGCAGATGATGGGGGGGATGCTGGGGGCAGGCCCCCCTGCCAGCAGCCTCAGGACGAGCCCAACCAAGAAGCCGGCAGCTGAGCCGTAGGTGTTGGTGCTCGGAGCAAAGAGGGCACAGCAGAGCTGGGGGAAGAGCAGGGCGTACACCAGCTCCCCGCTGAGGAACCAGAGGTCATAGACAGAGCTGGAGTAAAAAGCCAGACCGGCAGCCCCTGCCCCAAACACCAGCATGGAGGTCCTCATGGCCCATAAGACCTCTGTCTCTGTAGCCTGTAAAACAGAGATGGTAACATTACAGACCTGGCATTTACTGGCAGGGTGACCAGCACTGCCCTGGGCTGGTTCTCACCAAGCCCTCGCTGCTTTCAGGCAGTGCTTGCCACCAGCAGCTGCCCAAGGCAGGCACCCCTGGAGATGGAGCTGCCCTCTGTATTTTTGAGGGTCATGGTTTTATGCTGTCTCCATTAATATACTAGTCCAAATTTTACATCAGTCATTTTGTAAAAAGGAGAGCTCAAAGTGTGGGTATTAGTAACCCCATCAAGGATACAAACACCCCTGACCTATGTTTGAAGATCTGGCTCCAGAACTCAGGTCAGCTGCTGGCAGACAGACGCCTCTAATCACAGACCACATAGACTGGATTTGAAACGCTCTTGAAGCAAAAGCATGTTTCCTGACTCCAAAACTACTGAATGCTGTAACAAAGTACCTTTTTCCTCAGGATTTTCCGGTAGATATTGTGAGCGAACATGGAACTGGCAGAGAGAAGAGCTGAGTCCGCAGAAGACATTGCGGCAGCAGCGATGGCTCCCAGACCAGCAATGGAGATGTATGCTGGGCAGAGGTAGCGTAGAACAAGTGGCAGTATCATAGCCGATTCCCCTCTCTCAAAAGGGCTTGGAAGACCATAGCTTGTCTGGTTCCAGTCTTTAAAACAGAACAAGGAAAAGTCACAACAAATCCTTCACTGACATTTCTGCTGTCTTTGCAGCTGCCTTTCCACAGGGACCAGTGACAGCAGGGCTAAGGGCAGAGGCTCACTCAGGATTTTCAGACTTGGATTCATTTTTTGGATCTTCCTTGTCTCTTGTGATTCCCCTTAACATGCTGCAGCTCTCACTAGATCAAAGATTTTCATTTTCCCTGGCAGCATCTATAGAAATAGCGATGCTTTGTGTGTTTCCAGGAATGGAACACTTAAAAGTCAACCTTTTAGACCTCGCTTATGAGGAGAAGGGAGTTTTGCTCTGATGCCCCTAGTCACAGGTGAATTCATGAGTTCAAGTTCAGCGATCTGGCTGCTCTTTAACCCTTGCTATAAACCAACACTGGATTGATCTCCTGGGCTGGGGCTATGGTATTCCAGGACTGAACTTGATTCCTTCAAGCTTGTTTTCCCCTGAGCATTATTAACAATCTGTAGCAATATTACTGGGTCTTACATACATAAGGCAGTAACAGAAGCAGGCATAAGATTTCTTGGAAAATAGGATTATACAGCATTTAACAAGGTCTGCCTTCATCTTTCCTCACCACAAGGTCCATAAAAAGCCATTCTGTCATAATGAAATAACTTTGAACAGGTTTCGGGGCTGCTTAAATGTTGCTAGGTAGTCATACACCAAACCTCAGAGGGCTCCACATTTCTGGTACAGGCTTCTAGCTTGGTGGCCAGGTGTCCCGTTGGAGGCTTTTAGGTACACAAGACTAGGTAATTTGAAGTATAAATCAGGACTTCTTTGGGTCCCGTTTTAATCACCTTTGACAAAAACTTGTTCATTATTCAGAGACAAATGATTTAGTTTTACCTGTTGATGTTGCAACTGCACCAATGAGCACAGAGGGGATGGCCATTAAAAAGCACCCAAGTCCAGAGAGGTAGGAGATGAGCCTTGCCTGTCCCGGCGAGGCAGTGGAGAGCACTCTTTGGAAGTAGGTTTGCCACGGGATGCTGCCAAGCACCTGAAACATTCAGATGTTACTAGTGGTACCCACCAGGCTGCTGGCTGCTGTAGGGCATCATCCATCCATCCATTCAGATGGATGATAATCTTTACTGTTCTAAACCTCTAACTTCAAATGCATAAAATTTGCCCAGCGTTAACTATTGAAGATGATATTTGTCATGACTGAGGGTGTCTTTTTTCTTTGTTTTCATTGTGATGGATGTGAAATTTTGATCAAAACAAGTTAATGGTCTGGCAGACTGAGAAAGCTAAATAAACCAGGTTAAAAATAGGATGCTTGGCGTAGTAAAACGGGCAAGGAGGAAGGAAAGGAGAAGCTTTTCAGGAATGGAACTTTTGTAAAAATCTACCCAAACTTAGCTAGAGTATAATCCAAATTTTAAAACAAAATAATAATTTTCACTATCTCAGGAGACAAAGTTCATCAGATAATATCGTCAACAAACTCAAGCTTCTGTGTGTCCCTATTACCAGTCAACAGAGAGCATAACAACATCCTGTAGCCTTAACTGTATTGCTAGCTCAAAAGTTCAGTTGTGCAGTGGAGCCAATGGCACCATGCTTGCTGATGACCTGCAGTCGCGTCATTTTAATTTTTGTTTTTTCAAATAGAGGAAATTTTACATAATTATTTTAAAAGCACACTATTGAGGCTGCAAGACCAATCTCAAAAGGTAGGAAATGCCTCATTTAGATGCCAGGAGTGGAACTATTTGCCTGCATAGTCTTACTCAAGAGGTGCGTTCCTTCATGTGGGTGAAGGGTGGAGTGCCCTGCTGCTTCTTGTCTTCCACAGCTGAGCCCTGGATCTCCCTACTCCATTCAGTGTCCTGCATGATGGCTGAGAGAAGGTTTTACACGTTGTTCTGCCCCTTACAGCTGTGCCATGTAGGGCTCCTGGCTGGAAGAACCCACAAGTTTTCCAGACAGAAAGTCCCTGCACAGTCCCTTCTCCCAACCACCTGTCCAAGAAATAACTCCATACCAGGTAGAAGAAGTCATCCAGCCACCTTCCAAGATACTGGTTTTCTATCTTTCCAATCCAAGGGTCTTGGTATGATCGATGAGTTGCAGTGTAATAAATACTTTCAGTTGCAGAATTCACCAGGGCGAAGGGGATACAGACCCACTAGGGTAGAAACAGAAATAGTTAACCTTTTACCCAGGGTCCTTGTTCTTGGGGAATCTGTTGTTCTTGGGGAATCTATTAGAGAGAGTATATATATAACATATATTGAAATATATTGAATGTATTCTTGGGGAATATATTGAAATTAAGGTGGATATAGAACATAAAGTTAAGTAAGATTAAACACAGACTAAGAGTCTTCCTTCCCCCCCCTTCCTTACACTAAATCTACATGTTTCTTGTTTGTGGCATCATCAAGAACATAAGTTTGTAATTCAGGTCAATTGATGCCTTCAGTTGACAGATCTCTCTCCTTTCCAGCCAAGATTGTTCTGGACAGGTTCTGCAGATCTTACTTATGAGCAGCTGCGTTCACCCAGCAAGGCCAATAGGAAAGGCATAAGGACTGTAAGATGTTTCAGGAGACCCGTTCTCCTCAAGAGAAGCTGTAGGGCAAGGGCCAGTACTGGTGGAGTTATTTTTGGTCTGAGACATGCTGAAATGAAGAACAGGGCTTTTTTGCTTAGTTAGGAAACTGCTAACAAGAAATGCACAGGACTTGCCAGGCTGAGGGTAATGAAAACCAGCTGGATGATATCTGTGTATGCCACAGAGTAGAGGCCTCCCAGTAGAGTGTAGAGTATGACAGTGCATGCTGAGATGATGATAGCCAAAGTGCCTCCAATATCCAAGATGACTCTCATTGTTGCTCCTGCAGACAAGGACAGTGGTCAAGTATCTTAAGACAGATTTCATACATGCAGAATACAGAATAAATAAGGATATGCTGTTCCCTTGACGTCAGCACACCACACAGTACGAGAAATGCACAATCTACAGCGAGTGGGCAGAGTGAGGACTCAGGAGATCCCATGTTCCCTTTCTGCTCTTGCTGCTACCTTGCTGCATGGCCAAAGCACTCTGCCTTTTTACCTCTGCTCTTCCACAAGCAAGAGGAAGCTACTAACCCATATTGCCAGACCTCTCTATTGTAATATCATTAGTATATACTACTGTCATTTGTATTAAATCTAAAAACGTATTTTGCAGAAATGAGAAATGCCTGTGTTCCTCTCACAAAAGGAGACAAGAAGCATAACTTTCCACAGGTTAGTCCAGCACAATTCCCAAATGTATATCATAATCTGATAGTTGTGCTACATGACCTTTAACAAATATAACAGCAAAGTAAGTATTTACCCAGGGATGCCAGGATGGCTGCAAACCAGAACACCTCTCCTAGCAGCGGTGGAATGAAGAGTAAGCTTCCCATCACATTCCCAAACGTTTCTTGAAGCGGATCCATCACTGTCACATAATTCTTGGATCTCATTGGATTTACAAAGAAGAAACCACCTATCAGAAGTGATGACATTTTGGTAGAATATTGTATGTATTATATTCCAGGAAAAAAATATGAGTACTATGGTATTTGGGTATCAGAGCCGTATAGTGAGTGTGGAATTTGTACGTAATGGACCCTAGAGAATTATGCAGCCAGCCAGACACAGGGGCCTCAATTCACTTACCTAAATGTGGGGTTTCACCCACCTGAGGGGTCCCAGGTTGTAAAGGACATCTGCTTACAGCTGACAGATATGACCCTCCATTTTTGGCAGACCTACATCTTTCCAGAGTGACTGCTGGAAGTCAGGTAGGACTCCCTAGGGCACCCCAAATGGCATAAGATACCTGCGTGACTGTAACAGGAACATAACTGAGAGGACATCCACATGTAGTCTCCTCTCCATCTCCAGTGACCTACCAAGCTGAGACACAAAGTTTTTTGAAATGCTTCCTGTGAAAAAGTCAGTAGGCAGAGTGAGGCATTGAAGTCTCATATTTGGCTGAAAAAGAGAAAAACTTTTGTCGCTGGCCGTGTGATGCAATATGTTGATATACTTCCTTTTCTGGTTACTTTTTCATTTTAGTGGCTTCATTCTCTCTTCCCAGAACTACATTGTTTTAATCTGCTCATTGAGCTGAGTCCCACCTGCCTTCATCTAAATATTAGACGTCAGATGTACAGCCGTCTCATTAAAACCAAAGACTACGTATTGTGTGTAACCCTGAAGCCAAGAGGACTGCTTGTCTGGGCACTGCTGACCTGAGCAAAGATTGCAGGATCAGACCTGCACTCCTCATTTTCATTAGTAAGAATTACTCACACAAGAAATGCTGGCAGTATATTTCCAAGCCTGATTCATACTCACGTCAGTTGGACTCTTTTCTCTGACTTACAAGAATAAAGGTTGTTGTTCTTTCAGAAAGTCCTGCACAAGGTCTGCACAGGTCTCCTTGCTTTAATCATTCTGTGTCCCTAGAGAGTTACGCTATAACTCAGTGTGGACTGGAAGAAACTTTGGTCTTGGTGAGACAGCTGAACCTCAGCATGAGTCCGGCAATTCTTGGAGTTAGAAACAGCAACTTAAGTATAGGACACTGCAAACTGAGCTTAGTTTCAACAAAATAGTAACCAGCTATAAAGTGGGACAAGCTGGATGCACTACAAATTCATCCTGAGATAACACTACTCAGAACAACACATTTTAGTGGAAAAAAATCAAGTAGTGTTTCATCACACAGAAATTTTGAAGAAAAAATTTAAATTATACCAGTACTCTCAATAGTCTGTGAATAAGAGACCATGATAAAAAAGCAATATGCACATATCCACATGCTTCTAAAGTTTTCAGATTAAATTTTTGTCCTATAAATTGCTCCAGGCAGGCAAATCTCCACACTATCTCCAAGCTACCCCAATTTCTTACATTTCAGTTTAGAAGATAACATTATAAATGCTTATTCTGGATCTATGGGAGACTGAAGAAACAAAATCAGCTTTAAGATGTACTCTATACTCTGTTACACATCTTAATATACTCATATGAATTTTTTTAAAGCTTATGTGTCCTGGTTACATGAATTATTTACCAATAACAAGGGACAAGGCAAATCCCACAGGTGCCTGGACCCACAGTAGTCCTTTTGAAGGCAGGTAGACAATTTCAGCTGTGCCATTGATATATGCTCCTCCAACCCAGGTGGCTGTAAACACAGAAGATGGAAAGGTAAAAATTGTGATACATATTCCCAACTAGTCTTGTAGAACACACTAAGAGCTTGTAAACATTTTTTCTCACACAAATATTTAATTCCACTTCTATTTTCTTTAAAAAGTTTTCTCCCATAGAGAGACGTGCTGCTGAGTACAGGTGACAGTATTAGAATATCACCCTAAATAATTCCTCAGGTTAAATAATCAATATCTATGTGAGCATGGAAAAGTTCAATGTATAAACATTTAGAGGCAATTGGAATATACTCATTTTAAATTTTTTTTTCTCAGTGAAAGAATTTTGCTAGAGCAAACAGAAATACCTTTGTTATTTTGCCATGACAGATAGACCATCCTTCACTAGCATCACTTATGCAGTCTGAGAAAATAGACATTAGGAAAAAAACATGCAAGAAGACATTGCAGTCAGAATACAAACCTACAACATGGGCTTAAGTGTTTTAGCAAGGCAAATATCACTTGGGGAAGCCTTCAGAAAAAATGGGTGAGGGAAGCAAATTTCAGATGATGCCAGGCAGCAAGGGGAGAAAAGGGAAGCAGAGGGCAGCAGTCCGTGGGGAAACATTTTCTCTTTAGGAGAGAGCCCAATGCTCACCGTGAGTAGCAATTTATTCCACACAGAACTGGATTGTTCCAGCAGTAAAAGTCTTCTGTTACGCTGGATAACAGAAACTGGTTCAAGATTAAGACCACAGTCTGCCTTAATGAGAAGTGTCATATTCTTCAGTCACTCTTAAATTAAACTCTTTAACTCTTAAGTAAACTTTTAAATTAATCTCTTTAATTTAAAAGAATCTACATAAACATTAGGTTCTGCTCAATGTGGAGAGGTTTGCAAAAATCCATCCCAAAATGATTCATGAAACCATACTCCTTTAAAGCCACACTTAGGTAAAATCTGCCCTGACATTAAAGGAGCTCACTTGCTTTGAAAGAAAAGTCCCCCAGATCTGTGTAATGCGTGGGTTTTAAGAAGAATTTTTAAATGTCCTTTAAGAAAACTTACCTGTTGCAGTAAACAATCCAATGAAAACATTTATATTCCTGCCTCCAACTATGGCCATTTCAGTTGGGTTTCTGTTCTGCTGGTCCTTCTTGCTTTTCCAAGAAGCCCAAATTCCGGTAGCTAAAGTTAATGTAAAAAACACACTCAAAGATATTAAGCCTGGTATATTTAGAGCCATTTTCTGTTGCTTAATTTGGATGAAAGACAGGAATAATAGCGTGATGGTAATATTCTTTGACTGAGTCCACAATTTAAAAAAAATGGAAAAAAAATCAGAAATATTAGTGCCGCCTTGTAAAGAAGCTGCTAAGTACCAGTTTGCTGTGCTTTGCAAGGAAAGATGAAGTACAAAACAGAGTCATGAACCCAAAAGTCTGCAGAACTGGATGCAGAGTCTCTGTCTTTGGAGGACTACTGGCAATTTTTCTGTTTTCCCCCTTCTTCAGGAGATATCAATCTTTTTTCTCTGGGGAGCAGAGGATAAGAGGGTAGGAATTAGTGTTGATAAAAGCAGTGGAGCACTGATGTGAGGGGTAATACTGACTTCGTTTGAAGGAGGGCAAATGTTACATTTTGTCTGATATGCAACGGTATGAAACTAATCTGTATTTTTCTAAGTTCTAAGCACAAGGCTAACGCAGGAGATAGGGCTAAGAATTTGTCTGTTTAAAGTTGACTGAACTAAACCCACAGCAATCATGAAAATAAACCTAGGAAACAGTAAAAGAAGTTTTACCACTGACCAACTGAAGGAGCTGCATGCTGATCTTCAAAGCAAGTGCATTATCATTTCACTGCTGGAAACAGGCAGGAGAGCAAGGGGTTGTTAGACTCTGCAGCAAAACTAGAAGAAAGATACAGACTTTCTTAAACTACTTTGTGAGGCTGCCTCTAAACAGACACGATTCTGAGAAAAACCTCATCCATGCGTTAAAGAAGTCAGTCAGTTAAATTTATTATAGAGTTGCCATACCAATTTCTTTTTAGTTGCCCTGCGAATCTTTTTCATCTGTCCTGGTATGATTCTTCAGAACCACCTCTGCGTGAAAACTGCCCTATTTAGGGCACTTGTTTGGCTCTCCTGGATACTTGCTTTCATCTCTGGAGCCGGTAGCTCCTTTCCATGTGGAAATCACAAATTTCTTCATCACAGGTGAACTCTGAGCAGGAGTTTGAAAGTTCAAATCTTCAGGAAGGTTTTCTTCAGTGTGCCATCTCCTGCAGACTGCCAGGAGTAGCTGCGCCTGGAAGTGACAGTGGCACAGGGTAAGCATGTCCCATGGACCGGGCGTGGTGGGAACACACCAGCACAGGGGCGATGGCTGTGGGAAGAAGGGGGAGAAATGCAGGAACCCCATGTTTTCTGTGACACCTCTCTATACAAGGGAAAATAAGGTTTTTGCTAACTTTTGCAGTGATCTGGTAGGAACACTCTGTAAGGAGTTTTAAAAAAAACAGTGAAAATTAAAAAAGATGAAAAAGCCTGACAATCATGTGATTATTTATCCTGCCTTAGGAGAAATACTCCTTTATATTTATAATCAAATGCCATTTTGACTGCATAAGGGGTTTTAACTTCGAGCCAATTATTTGTGTAGAAAAAAGGGACTCTGTGAATTTTAAAGGTGCATTTTAAAGGCACATTTTCTGGGTGGTAATCAGATACACTCCTTTTCACCTCAATTACGCCTGCTACGAAGCTGTAGAAACTGCAGCTGTCGGTGGCGACGGAGACATTGGTTTCTCTGGGTTGCTTTCCTTACTCAGAACGGGACGTTTCAAAATCTTTTAAAATACTGTTTACACACAGACTCACACTATACTTTTTTCTATGAAGAAATGTTTTGCAGCACATTTCCTAGGCAGCAACAAAATAGGGTTGAAGGAGCACATGGCTGGGTCTCAGCCTGCTCTGCAGCCAGGAACTCCTGGGAGGAAAAACCTGGCGTTGCGTCCTTCACGTGGGGGTCAACTAAATTGAACACGTCCAAAGCAAGATTTGAACTTGTCCTTTGACTTCTGTGGAGAATGTTTGGTCTGACTCTGTTTTTTATCATCTCTTGAAAAAAATACAGTAAAAAGTGGCAGGCATAAAAATCTGCAGGGAAACTTCACTTAAAGACCCAGAGGGATGGAGGGCAGAAGTGGTAAGACAAAATGTAAGTGAGAATGTTACCCGATGGGATGAAGGAGATTCAGACACAAAGTATGTGTAAGGTAGTTCGTCTGAAGCTGGAGCATCTTGGATCATATACAGTACATGGAAGAAGGGTTGTAAAAACATGAGGTTATATCAAGAAGATCAGTTCCTCACTAAATCTGTTGTTGTGCTCTTTTGCCACTAGATGACTCCCAGATAATGCATCTATTTTACAAAAAAAAAAAGAAATCTCACTAGTGGAGAGATGTCTGAGGTGGGCTTCACCTCCCTGCTCATGATGGAGGGCTGCAGCTTTGGGTGCCAGCTGCTGTGATGCTGTCTCCAAGCTCCCTCTGTAACCGTGGGGAGAAAGATGCAATTTTAGAATGCAATTCACTGACCTATTTTAGGTCCTATGAGGCAGGACAGGGCAAGGGCAGATCTGAGTCTGCTGGACTCAGAGCTGCTTTTGAGTGGTGTCACTGTACCCAGTAGATGTTTCAGGGTTTGATTTGGCTGCTTGTGTAGAGATGGCCGGTGCCATCTGAGATGGTCTAAAGCCTCTGAGATGTCCACATGGGCAAGTGGATGTTACAGAGCCACTTTGGGAGACATGTGCCCTTCTGGAGCAGCAGCCAGAATATTCTGGTGTATCTCCAATGGTTCTGAATGTCTACTTGTGGAATATTCAGCTGAGCTCTTAGTCTCTCCTTATTGCTTGACCTTGATGTAACAAAGTCTGAAATGGGTGGTTCATAAAAGTAGAGGCATGCCTGGAAGAAGGTGAGGAGTGCTGTGTGCCAGGGAAGATTTTTATCTATGGTGGAAATGATCTGCACCATAGCGAGCACTTACAACTACTCAGCTTTGAAGCTAGCCAAGTGGAAGAAATAAAGATGGACAAACCTGTGACCTCTGTGCCCTGCCTTTTGGGGTTAAATGTTCTACATTATTGATGATGAACTTTAGATGGCCCTCTGTGGCCCATGGGCTCTGGAGGAAAGGGGTGCTGTGGGGTGAGAGAGGTACTGCAGGGAAGGGCATTTCTGAAGGGCGGCTGTCCCCTGTCGCTCCTCTGGCAAAAGACAAGCCCAGTGAGCTGGTGCTCTGTAGAAAATGAAATAAAGTTCTATGAGAATCTGGAAAGGTCTTTTTTTTTTTTAAATTTCCTTTGGGATTTTTTTGAAGTCTGTTTGCAAAGAAGTGGTTACCTATGAGGAGCTTCCTGGAAGGAGAGGCAGGGAGCTGGGGCTGGAGTAGTAGAGCAGAGGCTGTGGCACAGGGAGGTCTGCGGGGACCAACCTCTCCACTGGTTTGCTTTGCTTTGCTTTGCTCTTCGAGCCAAGAAAAACTGAGTGCTGAAGCATGAGGCATATGAGCTATTTGCATCAAAATGATCTGACAGTTCCTCTTGAAATGAGGTGGTATGAACTAGTCTGCGGTTTCCAATCCAGGTATTTGAATCATGTCCTTGATCCTAGCAGCTGAAACACCGGGCCGTTGGTCTCCAGACATTTACAATTTTTCACACGGTGGGCTTGGTGTAGAGTTTTATTCCTATCCCAAGTCAATCCCAGGAACATTTTTTCCTTATTTGTTGGAATCATACACAGAATCACACAGAATGGTAGGGGTTGGAAGGGACCTCTGTGGGTCATCTAGTCCAACCCCCCCTGACAAAGCAGGGTCACCTACAGCAGGCTGCACAGGACCACGTTCACTTGGGTTTTGAATATCTCCAGAGAAGGAGACTCCACAACCCCTCTGGGCAGCCTGTTCCAGTGCTCTGTCACCCTCAGAGTGAACAAGTTCTTCCTCATGTTCAGACGGAACTTCCTGTGCTTCAGTTTGTGCCCGTTGCCCCTTGTCCTGTCGCTGGGCACCACTGAAAAGAGCTTGGCCCCATCCTCCTGACACCCACCCTTAAGACACAGATGAGGATTTCTAAGGTCCCCTCTCAACCTTCTCTTCTTCAGGCTGAACAAGCCCAGCTCCCTCAGCCTTTCCTCATAGGAGAGATGGTCCACTCCCCTCACCATTGGAAGCATTACCTCTTCCAACCAATGCAGATTTGCACGTGGCTTATCTGAGTTTCAAATGCAAGAGGGAGAGGGGTCATTTGATTAGAAAGTAACACATTGTTACTCCTTGTGTGATAGCCTGTGAGGAGACTCCACAGTGAGTAATAAATGTAAAAGTTAAAAAAATATTTTGCCATTATGCCTGTGTGAGTTTTTGACCATTATTTTTTTAAGACTGATAGATATAGAGAAGATAAGTAGATATGTATGTAGGTAGGTAGGTAGATAGATAGAAGATGAAGAGAGATAAAAGATAGATATAGAATAATATTATGAGTTCCTTAGTGTTAATAAGTTCTTCATATGTACAACACAAAAAACATTTCAGAGACAAAATTTTCTTTTCCTTGGTTAGGAGATTTCTGTGAAATAATTCTTTCCATTTTGGAAAAAAACATCAAAATTAAATCTTCAGCAATCCCAGTTCTGAAACTCGATATTTTATCTTTATTCAAGTCAACTGTCTGTCCAAATCAAAACTACTATTAGTAGTATTATGCAGCCATTTTCTTTGGAAGCTGTAGCCCGTCAGAACAGCCTGGGTTTGCAGGTGTCCCCGCAGTGCTTGGTGTGAGGAGCTGCCCCTGTTGCAATGTGCTGGCTGGCTTCCAGGGAAGGCTCTAGTGACACTTCTGAGAGCTCAGGTTTTGGCACATGCCAATGGCAATTTAGGGGATCCAAAAAGCCATGAACTGACGTTATTTCACCTTATTTCACCCACCATTAGGTATTTTGGCTAAATGAGTGTTTATCATCCTTGTGTTTGCAAGAGACAGGTCTTTGTTTGGTCACCCACACCTCTGTGTTTCTAGCTCCAGCCAAGATACCTGGTTCTCCAGAGGTCTGCAAGTGGTTTTCAGGTGTGACACAGGCTACGTGGGAGACCCTTTCCCCCTCGAGTGGCATCCGAAGGCAGAGCAGGATGCTTTCCTGCACTTCAAATGGCACCAGATGCTCCTGTCTAGGGTGGACAACTGGAGCTTGACTGGAGAGGCAATTGCTCCTGCCTGCTTTAGACACCTCTTTCTGTACGGGCTGGGGAAGGCTGCCTCTCTCCATGGAGTACGTGGCTTGATGTCTATGCCAGGAAAGACCCATTTTCAGTGGTTCAAGTTAGACAAGGTGATTTTAACTCTACCTTCTGTGTTATTCCATGTCTCTTCCTCCCGGAGCTAGTTTGAACTCACAAGTCCTTTAGGTCACACGAGTCAAGCCAGAAGAGAACTTCAGAATAACAATATTTAATATTTACATACATCAATGAGGCCAGTGATCGCACAGTTGGCAGGACAGAGGGTGTCCCCTTAAGCACGCAGACGTGACACTAAACATCTCCAGGGCAGGACAACGTGGAGCAAGCAGATGACAACAGCACAGTGCATTTAATTCTCCGTGCTGGAGGTGGTGTGTGCCAGTGGGTACCTCTCCCGCTCCCTGTACTTTGGGCTGCTCCCAGCCCAAACTGGCTTTAACAAAGACATTAGAGTCAGGGAGAGAAAACTAAAGGATGAGGGCAGGGCTGACATTTAGGGACTATGAAGAGCTCATGGAGCCCCTCTGCTGATGAAGGAGTCTCTCTCTGTCTGACTACATACTGAATATCCTTACTTCTAGCTGCCTCCTTGACTCTTTTTGAATAAGTTGGCTTTATTTTGTTGTCTGCTTTATATGATAGCACAGTCCAGGCTTCACTGCTGACAATGAACCTGAGGTTTTTAAGCCACCTGGCAGGTTTGGATGCACCTCGTCATGATTGCAAACTTCAGCAAGTCAGGCTTTTTTTTCTTTTTTTTACAGAAGGTACTTTGAAGTCCTATGGGTCAAACTTCTTTCTTCTAGGAGTGAAGCTATGCTCCAAAGAAGTGTACGTGTGCTCCTCGTCTTAGCACAACTGACTTTTTCTTCCCCGTTTTATATACAGGGGACATCTATACAAAGTATTTTGTGTGCTTCATTAGAGGACTGCACAAACAGCCTTACGTGTCTGCAATAACTGTGTTCAAATAGCTTGCTCCCTTGCTGCACTGCAGAAATATGAACAACCTTTGACTGAGAAGACATGAATGTGTCTCTTTGAAGAACAGACTCTAAGTGCTTTAAATATATTCAGAATTTCATAACTGCACACAGGTGTAAAGGGTGGATAAAGATTACCTTACAGTTTGGCTGACTCAGAGAAGTCAGTGGCATGTCCAAGAATTCGCCTTTGAGGAAGTCACTGAAATGATGGCGTTTCTGATGTTTGCCAGTCATGAGGCTTGATCAAGCATCAAGGGTTTGATCTTGAGTGATGATGGGGAATTACGCAGTTCCTGGTAGGGATTACTGTTGCTGTGACACTGAGCCTGATGCAATTTGTTGCCTCTCAGATTATATCTCTTATTCGTTACTAAGCTGCACATAATTACTACCTTTATCAATTCAATGTTTATCTTTGCTAGTTAATTGCTTGTGCATGTGACCTTTTCTACAGCCCTACAGACCTGTGTGGAAATTGGTGAGACTCCTATTTAGTCTTGTGAGGGCAAAATTGGTGTCGAGCTTCTCCTCTTTGTTAAATCAGACATTGTTAAACTCTTGTTCCAAACCCTACTGTCTATATTGATCCAAATGCCCTTGAGGGCTACCCCATCTCTCAGATGCTCCTGAGGAAGTGATTTAGAAGAGCACTGGACGTTGTCAAACATGATAAAAAGCTAACGAAAGGGCACAAAGGGATTTTGGCTCTAGAGTGGCTGAGGGAGGCTGAAAACTGTGTTCTTCACTTGCCTCTGTGGTGTAGCAAATGGTGCTCAATATATTCCCTGCACATCCTCAATTAAATCTGGGAGTGCAGGGTTAGCAAGTTAATAGGAACAGACAGGTGAGCTCATGGCAGGATCTGGGGGGTGTGAGGTTATTTACATCCAGCCAGAGAGCACCTGCTTCACGCAGCTGATAAATGAACATCAACTGTAGTTCATTTTCCCATATAGACAAGAGGACAGGTGGTGAGCTTTTATCTGGGGACCCTTGTGTTTTGTGCACAAGTACAGGTCAAGTATGGCAGTCAGGACCAGACAGATTAGTGGCTTTGCCAATA